AACTTTTAGAACTTTTAGAACTTTTAGAACTTTTAGAACTTTTAGAACTTTTAGAACTTTTAGAACTTTTAGAACTTTTAGAACTTTTAGAACTTTTAGAACTTTTAGAACTTTTAGAACTTTCGGAACTTTTAGAACTTTTAAACTTTTAGAACTTTTAGAACTTTTAGGACTTTTAGAACTTTTGGGGGAAGGGGGAGGGGCCAAGGGAGGGAAACCTAGAACATGCATTCCAAGGGGAGTAACTGTAACACTTCAAGATCTTTGTACCTTTAGAAGAGTTCTTCCTGATGATGGTCAGCATATCTGTGCAGTAACCATGTTGGGGTGACCTGAGTGTTTTACTTATGCAACTGTTCCAATCCTCTTTGTTATACACCTGACATCCATATAGTGACAAGACAGTGTCACCACGTGTTATACTACCATGCACTGGGGATTCCTAAAGGAGAAAAAAATTAAAAAAAATTATTTTGTGGCCAATCCACCTTGGCTATCAAAAATTACATTACACTTTGGTGTCACACACACATGCATTCTGATGCGCCTAGTTCACCTCAGTGTAACATGTCTAAATAAAGTATTGTTGTTGTTGTTGTTGTTATAATTGTGTTGTTAAAACAAGTAAAAAATAGAGTATGATGAAAATAAAGATGTTTTTTCTATCTTGTCCTAAGGCTGAAAGAAAGAAACAAATTCTGAGTCCCCATTAAGATTCCCAACTCAATCTCTGTAACACAAGGGCTTTTGTTTGCTTATACTTACTTTTAAAACATTCAATACCACAGCACCCTGACCAGTTGCATAAATGGGAACCAACAAAGAAGGTAGAGACCACAGTAACACCAGACCTATTATCACAAGCACAGAATTATGCCAAACGCCAGCACAATAGATCCTCAGTTGACGCAATGGAGAGATGACAGTCAAATGTTCAGTGTACAGATCTACAAAGGCACCAGGGTAAACAGCCATGAAGAACATTCCAAATCCATTCACACGCACTTGTTCCCTGCAGGAGAGGTGAGCGAAATGTTTTGTTTACAAGAATGATAGAAAATGGGAGTTGAAGGGTTTAAAATTAAAAGATACACAAAATGCACAGGGCAAAGTATTGGAAAGTGTGGCCCTGCCACACTGTACAATGGGTCTCCCTAAAAAGTTATCGTGGGATTTGCCACTTGAGCTTCAGCGCCAACAAGAGCCTGTTTGCTGGCAAAAGAACTGTGGGCTACACACCTGACAGCAGAAATAGCATGTCCAAATTCATGGAAAACACCACTGACTGTCAATGTGACGAGATAGTACAACACTTGACTCCAAGGTACATTCACTCCTGGCATCTATGAAATACGTAAAAATACCATCAGATGCAAACATCGCCCATGTCCCTATTTTGCCTCCCATTTGGGGTAGGAGACATTAATTTCCCACACAAGAGATTACTGTGTGATGGATGTCCCTCCACTGGGTTGGGATGGGTGGGAAGGTGGACTAGCTCGAATGGTTCGTATGTTCCCTTCTAGTCCTTCCCCACTGCAAAATTGATGCAGTGAAAATGGAATAAATTAAAATTAAAAATAAATTAAATAAATAAAATTAAAATTAAATCAAATTATTTAGCCATTTGAAATGTGATGACTGAAATATTTAACCATTCACTCCCAGGAGCATAATTTCTCCTTACAATATCAATGCAACATGAACCCTTTAATACCCAGAAGTGATTAACATGTAACTTCTCCCTATAATATTCATACATTATCCAGCAGACAGGTAATGAGAATACTTAAAGTTATCAAGTAGAAGTTGTTATCTTGATCTAACACCAAATTCTTGCAACTAATTAACAGCAAAATGTACGGCAGCTAGAGGGGAGAATTAACAATCAGATCTCTCGAGTTAAAGAGTTAAGCAGCCAAGTAATGAGAATAGCAAAAAAAAGTAACTAAAGGAAGGTATAAATCATTTGATCCAACACCAAATTCTCAGAACAAACTTTATAAGTAATGTATGGCTGACAGTAAAGAGAATTTCCATCCAGGTGTTAGGAGTACAAGCCTAGAGTTAGATTGTACTCTGAGGAAGACTTCTGCTCAGTTTATCAAAATGTTAGTTAATCTCAATGCTAGTAGCCCTTTTCAAACTTCTCTAGCCTATACAATCACACTACACAATCAGCTATAATTTTTTCTTGAACAAAAGCTCATCTTTCAAACCGGCAGTCTACAACCCACAGGTATCAACAAACGCTTTTCATTCCACTAATTTATTTGTGTTTTTCTCGTTGCCATGTTCCCACCAATCACGTAGCTCCTTTTTCTGCCTTTAAAAGCACACACAACTCACAATTCCCCCTATTCACTCCGACGAAGGGCTAACGCTTGAAACGTCAGCTTTTATAATCGTAACGGTGGCCAATTTACCATTTCAACTTTGTTGATATATTCAAATAATTTTTTCTTGTTATTTTAACAGTTTTATTTAAGATTAGGTAGATGTTTAGCAAGACTCCAGATCAAGCTCTGATCACAGTCAATGGTTATTATAACTGAGTGCTTGTCCAGTGCAAATAACAATATGGAATAATGATAACATTTTTGCACCAGCAATCAGAAGTCTTAATTGGCTGAATCTATTTTCCACTAGAATTTTTTTCATTATACCAAAGAAATCCACCCACCACTGGAGTTAACACTTGCTCTGGTGCATCTTTGGCAAAGGCTTTGTACAAAGTGAGACAAAGGATGACAACGGAAGCAAACATCAACAGTACACCAACTACAACTCCCACAGAAAACCACACATGCAATAAATAAGGGTGCATCTTTCCAAATCTGACAAATGATCTGTTAAAGCTTGTGGTGTACCAGCGCACTTGACATATTGACAAAGAAATACCATTATTTTCCAGAAACTCTTTATATCTTCGCGAGTATTTTCTATAATTCTGAAACACAAAAGAGAAAAAAATCAGGCGATATGAGTTCCACTACTTACCAAAATTATCAAATGACAACTACCCTGATATGCATTGCCATCAAAAATTTTACCTTCTCAGGAATGTGCATACCACTTTGTCATAAAACATTTTTTATTTCTTAGTTGACTAGGAAGGTTACAATTTAACTACATTTCCTCCTCAGACTGTGGTACCTATTCAGGGGTGGTGCATATTAACTCCACTCATTAACTCCTTCACTCCAAATGTGGCATTTGTTTAAGGGAGGCCACAATTAGTCAAGGGTGGTGCTAATTCTAATAAAGAAAGTATGCCTATTACAGCAGTGTTAAATATCACTTGGAACGGACAAAAATGGAAAGAAAATTTATGTGAACAGCCTCAGGCATGGGAAATTGTCCAAGTTTCAATTTGGCATCTGATTGTTTGAGACACTGGCATAAGTCTGCTTGGCCTATTGGAAGAACAGCAATGCAAAACCAAAGAAATCCTGGAATTGAAAAAATTGCTCAGAGAGTTAGACTCTAAGCCAGCTTTTAGATCTGTTTAATTTTTTTCTTTATTGATACTCCTGTTCCCTATATCCCCTACACCCTAGGACCCATATGCATATTCTCCAAACTGTTCTCTATACATTTCCTAAGGTGCTAGCAAGGAGAATTTGTTTAACAATCAAGAGCTTCTTTGGTTGGTGATCACAACCCTTACTCTTGTGACCTCAATGTATGATTCAAAGGTGATATGGTAAGGAGAAATTAGATGCTAGTCACTCTT